TCACTGGTCTATGTAATGAAGTGAGCGTGGCTCCAGTGAGGACTGGAGGAAGACTGCAAATCATGAATGAAGGTAGTGGCAAGGAGGAACCTGGTCATCTTCTCCGAATGTTTTAGAGAGAGAGTAGTTTGTCTGAGAATGGAGAATGTGAGGAGACTTGGAAGCAGCTAGAGAAACTAGCCCATGTTTAAAGCTGAATCCAGATTCTTCTAAGAGGAACACAGTGACAAGACAAAGTGCACCAAGCACAATGTGGGAAATTCTCATTTGTTAGTTTTTTTTTCTCACTGGGAGGGTGATGTAGCACTGGAATCAATGATCAGAGAGTCTGCAGGATCTCTAGCCTTGGAAATAACCAGATCTTGACTGGATATCAGTCAAGAACAAATGTGACCTCAGCAGGCCCTACTCTGAGCAAGTAGTTGTCCCAAATAACCTATGGAGGTCCCTTCCAGCCTGAATTATTCTGTGGTTTTGAGTCAGATCCTACAGCTGGCAATGGAAGGACCTTAGCTATCATGCTTGAGGGTAGGGGTAGTGTGAGTATCTGACTCATGACTAGACTGGAGTCACTGATGAATTCAGTGTATTTCATGACTGTATGTCAAATTTTATGGGGAACCTGATAGCTATGAACTTTCTGGCTCTGGAAGGCAAGAAATTATTTGCTGACTCATATCACTAATAAATGCTGGTATTTATCCTATCCAGCACTGGCAGATGATACCTTTGAACTTTTCATGATGCTTTGAACCAGGGCAAAAGATTAGTTCCTGTGAAAAGGCTTTTTCATACATGCTCTGACCCAAATTTTCAAAGCCTCCAGTTCCCCAGCTGAAACTTGGTCTGCAGGAAAAAGCTTCAAGCAAATGGCAGTGGGATGGATCAAAATGAATGCTCTGAGCATTCCTGAGGGATTCTCTGGGGACAAAGCTCTCCGTTGGCTCTTCATTGCAATGGTAACGCTCTATGCTGCAGTGGATAAATTAATGGATTGCTGTTTACATCAGTATTCCCTGCTGAAAAGCAAAACTCAAGGAACAGCTCTGGTATTTTATTTGCTTTATGTGGGAACATGGCCAGTGATGCCCATAATTCATACTATGATATGACTAGAACTCTGATATGTCACAGAACATTTCAAAATTGAGACTGACAACTTCTGGAATTAAGTTTAACTGTGGATGTGTTTTGTTAACCATATTATGTACTTATAGCAGCTTTTTATAACTGAAGAACAAGAAGATGACTTCTCATTATCTAGCTACATAAGTGCCACTAACAAAGGGGCAGCTGTAGATTAATTTGGACAAAAATCTCTGTTTCAGTTATATTCAAAATACAGAATTTCATGGAGGTGTGTTTTCATTTGCACACCCATAGCATAGATAGGAGGTTGGAGGTACCAAGAGCAGTACCTCAGACTGCTGTAGCAGCTGCCTGTATGTTTGTACCACAGAAACATTTTCTTGCCTTGGAATGGATGAGTGCATGTGTATACACTGCCTGATCACTCCTGTCATGCACAGCCTGGCAGAGACATGGTGTTTCCTACATGAACTGCCATTTCTTCCCAGATCATGAGTGAAAGGCTAAACATGAAGCAGAGACTAACAAGATTCCAGTTCTGCAGTTTTCATTTTCAGCAGTTTGTATTCTGCCACATACACAACACTCCTTCCTGAGGGAAAAAACCCAACATAATTAACATGGGATAGATTTTGTTCAACGTACTCTCTTTCCTTCCATCATTATATTTGCTAGAGGAACTATTTAGAGAGAAGCTTTCTCACGGTATTGTGTACAATCCAAGTGTTTTTAGTTTGTCAGGGGATTTTTTTGGTTTGTTTGGTTTTTTTAATTTGTTTTTAAGAAAGCACTGTTTTAGAGATTACATTTTCAGAAGCCATTGGATTTCAGCCATTTCAGATACATAGTGGAAAGGGAGGAGATAGTAAGAACTTAAAGAGATTATTATTTTTAACATTACTGGCAGGAACATCCTCATCTGAATTCCATTAGAGAGGTAACTGCCTACATTAATAAAATAAACCAATATATAATCACTACCAGTCTTAATGTTTGGGCTGAATGACTTAATTTAGTAACTCGTTTATGATGTGTTTTAGTAGCATGGCCTCTCTTATGTTATCTGAGTAAATAGAATAGATGCAGATGCTTGCCAGAGGTTCACAGTTTCATAAACTTGTCTTTACAGACTAGCTTGAATATGCCTTATAAATTCACTGGTCTTCACTCACTGGACTCAGTCTTCAAAGTAGGCACGAAATATTTATACTTACAGATCCAGTTGTTGTAACTCACATCAGTCAAACAGCAAGAATGAGCTAGGCAAAGAAACAAGAGTAGCACATAAATCACCTTTTTTATTAATAATTTTCCACTGCCTTTACTGAAGCTGTCTTCTTTCAGAGTCTGAGACATGGGGAGGAGTTACCTCGCTAGATTTGTAGAGCCATTTTCAGTTTGTTACAGATCTAATTACCTAATTGAGGGACAACCAGTTTAGAGATGAACAGAACTTTTTCTCTGTGGTTTGTGTTTCTTTCTGTGGTTCCCTCTGAGATTTCCATATTTTCTTCTGTATGGGGGAATCCATCTCCAGTGAAAGGCAACTGTGTGCTTTGGAGTACATTTTTTTGCTGAGGATGGTGAGCAATACGTGCTGTGTATCAGTAGTCCTAAATAAAAGCAAATCCATTAAAAAATCCAGTAACCAATTCAGTTCTCCAAATACAACCAATGGAAGTAAATAAGGCAAACCATGTCACACTTCAGCCCCTGCACCAGGAGGGTTCCCAGGTGAAGGCAGGCAATGGTTGCGTCTTGAGCAAATCCCTGAGCATGCCAACAACTGGTCCAGTCTCACAGCAAAGCTACTGGGCACAGGCCACTAGCCTGGAGGTCAGTGTGGCATCTGTGTGATAGGTAGCTGGGTTTCTGGGATAGGCAGAGACATCCCAACATCCTTCTGTGCTCAGCAGCAGTCTCAAAACTTTCCAGAGGAGTGTGACCTGCCAAGCATGACTGCTCTCATCACTGCTCAGCACCATCTCTGCCAGCAGAAGAAATAATGACATCTGTCTCAAGACTTGTCTTTCTAACACCAGTAACGTAATTTCTTCCTCTTCCAAAATTGATTCATTTGATGCCCTAAGTTTCAGCTGGTTTTCCACAAGCATATTATTTTTTTTGAGAATGAACTCACGTTTTCCAGTTGAGTTCTTGATTAGTCTAATGAATTTTCCTCCTTTCTCATCATCAAACACACTTTCCCAGATGATGGGGAGGTTTATCTCTAAAGGAAAATGACTCTTCTCTGACACAGAAAAAGTTTTAAACGAAGATTTTAAAAGTGTCTGATGATTATGGGGTTCTCAATATTTCAAGTACTAAGTTTAAAGCGTTGTAAAGTGACAGCAAATGTTGGATATCTGCCCTCTGATCCCTGATGCTATTTATTTGAGGTGTCCTAAATTGGCATAGAAGACCATCATTCATTTTTGACCCAAAGCATCTCAGACATTCAAAAATCTCATTCCCAAACTTCTAATTCTTTCCCAGTTCAGAAGGCTGTCTGAAAGTTGCCAAGTATGAAGTTTAAAACAAACAGATAAGTAAATATTTGGACCTTTTTAATTGCTTCATGTTTCCTGAACTTTCAGGATTCATGTTTTCAATCTAATTATTTCTGGCTTTTGGAGAGAGAAGGTTTCCCTCTCCTCTTTGTTTCTAACTAAGTAACTATCTAGGCTAACCTGTCAAAAAAAAAAAAAATGTATAGAAAAAATTCACAATTGAAGGAACTTTGCTAAATGGGATAAACCTGCCTACAGCCCAGGCCTGAGCACAAAGCCTAGAGCCTTTACTCACCTTGACTCTCTACATCCAAGGTAACATCAGCTAGTTACTGTACAGGCATGGTGGCAGATCTTCTGTAGCTGCCTAACACAAATCTCCTGCTCCCTGTCTTTCTGCACAGCATCTCCTGTGGTCACAGCTGAGACCCTGTGGTGCCCAGCTGATCATTTTTGCCCAGACATTCTGCAGGACTCCATCACCCATCTCAGCATTCCACAATAAAGGGACTGGAGGAGGTAACTTCAATGTTTCACACGGGAGGTGTGAATCACATTACTTTTTACCTGTCCTGCTTAATACAATTCATGTATTTCCATTTTTTAGGTTTATTGTTTGCTCTTGCTAGAAACCGATGATGTTAATGCTCACTTTGCTAGACCTGAATACCCAAAGACACTGTGAGTTTTCACCAACTGTTCCTTAAAGAACAACTCAATATGAGAAATCCTCCTACGAATCCTACACTTATCCATGTAATCACCCCTGCCAATACACTGCAGACTGTAAACAGCCATAGAGAGGATTCCAAACAGTTAATGTCAAATAGCTCATTTTCTCTCATCTCCACACAAATTCCTGTCATGTTGCATTACATGTAAACAACTGAGAAACTTCATGAAATGCCTTTCAGTAAAAAACTCATATGGCTTTTCAGTCTGAACAGATTAATTGCAGTTTGTAACAATATAAAGTGATGCAATCTGATTGCAGTTTCTATTGCTCTTTAGGATAAAATATTTTATGTGAATGCAAAGCCAAGTTTTCTGCTGGCATGACTTTATTGAATTCCATGGAAAAATAAAATACTCATCTAAAATCCATAGTACGAAATACTAATCTAAAATCTAAAATCCATCGTGTACTGTTCTAGTAAATAAATTTTATAAGCTGTAAATTAGATGTGCCAGATCAGATTCCAGACCCCATGGAAATGTCCATGTCAATGAAGAGAGGCAATAGGAATATTTTGTTTTGGAGGAGACACTTCTGAATGAATCTTTTAGCACTTTATGGTTTTGAAAGGGTTTCCCACTTCCATTTTTTCAATGCCCTGTCTTCATCTTGACACTGCGCTCTTTAAATCTGCTTGTCATTCTCTTTAGTTTCATTCCTATGTACTCTTGAGTTGTTTTTCTCTTCTTCCTGCAGGCATCGCTCCGGTGTTTTGTAGCAGTCCTGTAGACCCAAGCCCAGAAGCCCTGCAACACAAGTTCTGCTTGCTGCCAACAGGGATAACGCAAGGAACTTCCATGAAACCTCTCCAGGTGCATCCCTTACTGTATTTTTTATAAACCCAGTTTTCTTTAGTTTTCTTTGTTTATTTTCCCAGTTTGCAGAATGCCATAATTGGGGGTGATCACCACTTGAAGAGGCCAGAAGTTGTCTGTGGTGTTTTGAATCCCATGTATCTGCACCAGGGGAAAGGCTGAATTTTTTTGGACAAGTGTGTGGGCTTGCCAATGCAACACCACTCTGTCCATGCTGCTGGACTAAAACTGAAGGTCACAAATATTCTACAGAAGGTGCCAATGTTTGATTGCTTGGCACCCATTTGAGTCATCAATATCCCAACAGAGTTTCAATTTTACAGGACTAGCATATTTTATGGAACAGGAGACATTTTTTATGTAATATTAGCAATATCACATTTAAGTGTTACAATACTGCCTGACACTGGGGACCAAGAGAAAAATACTTAATGGAAAAGTAGAAGCTGCTGCACTTTGAACTGAAGCTGTGTGTATTGGAAAGGGGGAGCATGTAGTTCACATCTCCGCTGGGACATGTTACATATAGATCACGATAAAGCAGGCTGCAGAATTGGAGATGTTTAAATCAGCATTGTAAAATCCTGAAGAAGTGTAAGAAAATGAGGAGAAAAAAAAATTACATTATCCAAATATTGAGTCAGTACTTTGATATGTGTAGAAATCCTTTCTATAGAAATAGATTGTTTATCCCTGTCCATTTCTTTAAGATAGCCTCTTTATTTTATGTGCCCACTCCGACTGGGTAGAAGCTTTCAGTTTTTGATGGGAGAGATTTTGAAATATGCTATTTTCACACTGCATGTAATAGCATGATTGGAAGGAAAATTACTGCAAATTCTTTCATTTCTGAGTGTGAAGATCTCTTCAATAGAACCACTATTGCTACCCATGTGGTTGGTCACTTGAGGGCTGTTTTTTTCATTTTATACAAGCAGATAGCTTGTATGCCATGACTCCTTAAGAAGTACACAGTTTCAATCTCAGATAGCATGTTTACATATAGTTTTTTCTTACTATGAACAACTTCAGATGAAATATTACTTAGTTGTCCAATAATTGCATGCAATTTTAGGATCAATTAATTCCCCTTTGAGTGACTTTATTACTCTAATGATTATTGAGGCATGGTACAGCATGTTCCTCCCATGAGAATGCTTAGCTGTTCTTAAGTCAGAGGCTGTTGGGAGTAAAAAAAAGCATCTGACAGAATCAGATTTTCATAAAATAAAAAAAAAGCACCCCTCATAAACATTTTTTTAGGAAACTTCAATGCTGTTTAAACGTTACTGATAATTTCTGCAGCTGGATAAACACAATTATTTTATAACTGTGGTAGAGCATGAGGATACTGGAAAAAAATGTGGCTTTATATTGAATTTTCCTGAACTGAGCTTCCTCAAAGCAGTATGTTTAACAAGTCATGAGGTGACTGCATGGGCAAAAAAGATACATAGCAGAGAATGACAGAAATCAAAACTAAGAGGAACGAGGTTTTTTTAGACCCACTGTGGTCATTTCCAAACCTTGCCAGTTAAGTTCAGTTCTCTGTATATAGGTCAGATTTAACCAGAACATTTATTTGTCACAATCAGCTGAGTATCAGTAACTCTGAAAACAAGGGATTTTATTTTCCTCTCTCTTCAGATTCTGATTTATCTACTGAGTGGGGGATGGATAATTAGTGGAGAACAAGTGCCACCAGCGGTGACCAAAAGCTATGGTCACCTAACCACCCCCTGAAATGCCTGATGAAGTACCCAGGAGTGCACATCTGTTGTGTGAAAACCCTGATGGTGGGCAGCACTTGGAGCTGTCATCAGCAACTGGTCCTTTAGTACTTCTTCAAGCAAGTGCTGCAAACACAGGGAGGACAGGACACCCTTTCCCTGCCCCTGCTGTAAAAGTGATGCACATAAATGAGTGAGCTCGATTGTCCCATATTTCAGGCCAACATCTTTCGCAAGCATTTCAGGAACAGCTTCAAAGGCATGCAGCTCGAACTAATGAGAAGCGTACAGGAGGTCAGAATTACTGTCTAGTCTTGGAAAAATCAGAATATATATTCTTTTTTCTTTTTCTGTTTTTATCAGGCATTTTTCTTTAAAATAGATAACCAACTTCTTTTATAAGAAACCTGGAAATGATTGCTTAAAATTAGTAAGTTACAATTCCAGTGAATGGCCTATCTGGAGCAGCTGGGTTTAAACACTCAAGGGAGAAGTTGGGGAAAGGAAAGGGAAAAAACAGGAGTACATGATTGTTTCTGTGCTGATTCACAGATCTGTTTGCCATCAAATCTGTCATTGTGGTGGTGACATGGACTTGTTACAGCTAAAAGCAAAGAATGCAGAAAGTAAGAGTGTTTGACCCTAAAGCCCAAAATACTCAAAGGTTTAGTGTTTTGAGTAAGGCAATGATCCAAAGCCTATAAAAGCAGAAGAAAAATAGCCTTTAGCTTCAGTGGGCATTGCATCAGGCCTTCAGATGACTGGCAATCAGCAGACTTCATGCTGTGTAATTCTTTATGAAAGAAGCGTTAGTTCTCCAACACACAGTCAGCTGAGGAGGAATAAGACATGCTGTGTCTTTGCAACTTACCCTTCTGGTCAGCAGACATCCTCATCACAGAGGGTGATGTAGATATTCTTGCACAACTGGTGAAAAGGCATCCAGCTGTGCTTTGCAACTGCTGCTTCTCGCTAAGCCATCACTAGAGAGAGAATTAGCAGACTCCATTGTCACATACCCTAGATCTGAACCCTGGGTTATATTTAAACGAGCATAGGAAAGAGTCTGAAGACTCTATGACCCTGGTGAATTGGGGGATTGCTTTTTCTAAACTGGAAGGCAAACGTCGGAAGATCAGATTACAAGTGACTACCCGAATGTTTTCTCTTCATGGTGGGTCAGCTGGAGTTCAGGCTCTGTAAATTCCAAGGAGGTGGTTCCAGAGCAGTTTAAGCACTTCAGCAATTCCTAGCACCGGTGGTCTCAGCTTGGGAAGGATTTCATAACATGTCTGAAAGCCAAAGGCTTCTTTGCTAATTTAATAAAGAGTGAACCAGTGGGTAAGTCCCTAGAAAATAGACTAAATCAGCCTAATTTGTTATATAATCCCTTTTTAATGTGGAGAATTAAGGTGACGGCAAGATGACTACGTGTTTAATTCTCCAAATAATTACTGGCGGGTATTGACATTAAAGATGGGAGAGAGTGAGTGAATTTCTGTTTGTAGTTTTCAGCACGTGCCAAACTCTTACTTCATACCAGTGAGAAAAGGCTGGAAGTTGTGTGTTCCATATGCATGAAGTAACAGTTGGCACAAATCACCAAGGGGAGAAAATTAAAAGCCACTAAAGCCCAGCAACCCAAACTGTCACTTGCTGACAATTTTTTGACTCTCTCTATGAAAAAAAAAAAAAAAACCAAACCAAAAAAACAATACATGAAGGCCTCATGCAGGGTATTCCACCTGAGTAAACCCTAGTGTCTGGTCCTCCTCAAGGCAAATAATGTGCTGAGAAGGCAGCAATAGTCTCAGTTTTCCAACCTCCTCCTCTAGTCCCTTGGGAAGTGCAGTCACAGACAGCCCCAGAGTGGGGTGAGAGTGGAGCAGGGGAGGATGACACTGCTTGGCTCAAGTTGGTTCTTTCTTCTCCTGGCACTCTTGGCCATGAAAAACCTGTTCTTCCCCATTGCTAGGAATGGAGGTGCTTCGTGGCTAACAGTGTCTGTCCTACTTGGGGCAACTCTGCCGTATGGATCAGGATAATGGAGTTTACATCCTTGCCTTGCCAGCACTGCTGGATTCACCTCAAAACAGCAGGAGATAGCTGTATCTGCACAACCTGCCTCTAACTCATGTGTCCTTACACAGGCCTGGGATGACTTTGGCATTTGGGCCATGGCTGCCAGGGCCCTGGAGGTACCAAGGGGCCCTACTGTTGTGTCCAGTCCTTGCTCAACCTTCCCAAGGACCAGTAGCCCATGTCAGCCCCCTGATCTCATCAGCTTCTGCCCCAGTGATGTCACAGCAGGGCCAGGCTCCATCTGCCCACAGATCTGCCCTGGCCATGGGCCCCACAGAGCCAGACCCACATCCCATCCTGTCAGCACATCCCATGTGGTGTCCTGGCCGTGGCCATGGGTTACATGAGTTACCTCATTTTTTGTTCAAAATTATGTCCTGTGCTTGTAGGATTTGATACCATCTAAGTCTTCCCTGTCACTTCTGTAAGTAAATATGTGAATAAGTATATTTATTGATATTCGAAACATGTATATGACATAGGGGGTAGGGTATACAGATGTATTGTGTATTGTTCACTCAGGAATCACACAAATAGATACTTTCCTCCTATTTTGTTCATGGCTAAATATTACTTGTAAGTCAAAGCTAGCTTGTTTAAAACACTCTCTTATTTTATTTTTAAAGAAAAAAATTGGTTTTGCTGTTGGCATGTTTCTGATTTTCAGACCATGATGATTTTCTGTGTGGCTCACTGTAGTCTTCCTACAACTGACAGCTTATTATCTTGCCTTATGAAAATCATGCGTGACTTCTGGGAGTCATCTATCAAAAGGAGAGAACACACAACATACTGAGAAGCTGGTACCTTCTCTCTAATTTTCCAGGTTGATGGCTGTTCAATGAACCTATTAACTGCCTGAAGTGACTTGCATCTTTACAGGTGTGGGACTGCATTGTCTTTCTTTGTTGTGTTTAAATGGCAAACGCTACCCCATGTAGTGTCCTGGTTTAACTTCATTTCTGGTCTGGTGTTTTCCAAATGCATCTGGCTTCACTCTCATTGGACAGTAGACTCCTTTGTGTGCCTTCAGAAGTAATGGATGTAGGTGAACATTCCCGCTTTCCCTTATCTCCCATTCTCTGAAAACTGCCTTGGTTCAAGGTTTATGCCTTTAAGTGGAACACTTAAGCACACACCTGGCTCTAAGCACTTCACTACTGTCATTTCACTGAACAGGGATGGATTTAAGTGACTACTTGCCAGAACTTCAACAGTTTCTTTTGCAGAGGTCAGATAAGATAAAAGTTAGGAGCCAGGTCTGACAGTCCTCTGCCTGGGGTTTAGTTTGCTTTCTGGTAGTGATGGGCAACACCATTCAAATCTTTCATGATACTCCTACGTAAGGACTGATGGGGCTCTAGGTCCAGCTGCTAACTGAAGGTTAAGGAAAGGTAATAGAGCATACTCTACTCTCATTTATACCAGGTAAAAACATCATATGAGTTGCTGGCCCTGTTCTTGTCTGTTTGTGCTACTGCAGCAACAAAAGGAGTCAGAAAACTGCAAAGGAGTCTCTTTGGCAGCCCTGTGCCCCTGCTCTGCTCCTCGTGCTGACAGCACAGCTGAGCACCAATGGGAATGTGGTCACTCAAAAGCTCTGGGCTACTAGTGTAGCCCTGGCAGGGCTAAGTGGCATGGCTCTGCAGAGACGCCCTGTGGCTGCTGTGGTACCAGGTGCTGGAGTCATGGACAAGCTGCACTTGTGCCCCTGTGCCACCCTGATTATAGTTGTGGCCATCTGGAATGGCTAAAACTGAGGCAAAAACTGGGCAACTTTGTTGACATGGGACTTTTAAGTTGTGTGGAAAATGACGGACAAGTTGGAGAAGAAGCTCACTAGTCAACCACATTGGGAACCCCTCTTTATGAACACAGGTGATATCTTTTGTGGCACTGCTTTGGATAGCTGTGTTGTGCAAATTCCCGGCTCTTTAGAGATCCAGTGGACTATCAGACAAAAAAAAACCCCACCACATTGTATGTCATTCTGGGTACATACTTGCTGTGAATGAACATAAAGACCTATTCATCACTCCTAGTGCTCACATAACTGACAGATTAAATCATTCTCTGGCTGTGATGATGACAGTGGTCCAATAGCTAATGCTGTCTAACAGTCTCCATTAGAAGGCCTTCTTTTTGATTGTTTATAATTTTGCCAGACTTCAGCTGCTTGAGCTGGATTTTCCCATGCCATATGTCACCAGAAACTGAAGTTTTGTGTGGAAGGGCCTAGATGAATAGTCATGGCATTGCCAAGCTCATGCATCACTGAAAAGTCACTTGAACACAAGTTTTCAGGGAATAGCTGTACATTTCTTATTTCTTGAGGGAGCAGGAAAAACATCTGGAGTTATATGCTCCCCAGTGGTCTGTGCTCAGGCTGAAGTTAGAGTTGCTGCTAAACAGCAAGAGGTTCCATATCCAAGGCTGTCAAGTTGCTAGATATTCTTGACACTTGTAACCTTTTGCAAACTGACCAATGTCTTTTGAGGTTGTACTTTGTCCACTGACATATTTAGTTCCATATTGTAGTCCATGTTGTCAACAGAAGTTGTTTTAAGCAGGCTGAGATTATGCTACCAGGGAGCACAGTTCAGGAAGATGGCGTCTAAATGGCCTAAGTTTTAGCACATGGTATTATGGCTTTATAGCTTTCTTCTGCTCACCCTTTTCCTTCTTCACAGCTGTCCAGTTGTCATATTTCTGATCAGCAATCCCTGTCATATAGGATCAGGACCAGATTTTCAGATCTCCATGCTGGTCTGAGCACCAGGCTGATGTTGCTAGATCCTGGAGGTCAGTTAGCTTGGCAGCTTTTAGAATGGCTTTTATTTGGTCCACTAAATCAACGTTGGTATTTTTTCCTCTGCATTTCCAAACAGTACTGCAGAGGTCAACAGGAAGAGCTTTCAGGCTGAAAAGTACAACAGCATTGTCCCCGGGTGAGGTGGTTGTGTTGGGAGGACATTTGGTGACAAGAAATAAGTGGCATGGGTGTGGGTCAGGAGTGAGGTAGGGTTTAACAGATCTAATGTAACTTTGAGGATGATATGTATTTCTGTGAGTAGTATCTGCAGATGACAGCTCAATTCCACATTGGGTGAAAACATGCTCTCTGATCTGCAGCCTATATAACCCCTTCTCATTCCCTACAGATATTTTTATTAAGTGAGCTTTACAAAGACCTAGAAAGAACCTCTACCTGTCACAAGAATCTTAGAAGGCTTATGTAAGGTCCCTAGAGCAGTTTTTCCTTAACATTATCCAACACGGAAAATTTCCGGATTTCAGTAAAAACTGTGCATGCTATGTTTTCCCAAGCTGGGCATCAATGTGAATTGTAGGAGCTATTGGCTAGGAAGTATCTAGAAGCAGACTTTACAACCACACAGAATGCTTTCATTTAACTACCCGTGCTACTGGACCTTCACATGATTTAGAGCTCTGACAAACCTGAATTCCCATTAAACTAGATAGCTTGGATCCAATTAGTGGCATTATCTCAGGAAGACAGTGTTCTGGATGGCCTGCCAACAATAGCTGGCCATTGACTGCTCTGCTTTGCAGGGGGGTTTGCAGGTGTGCTGTGTTCTGTTACAGCAGTGCCATGGTGTTACCAGTACCTTGGATGGCTCATTTAATGCTAGTTCAACATGTCAGTGCCATGCTGCAGTTTTAATAAGGTCAGCGGTAGAGGCACATCTGCAGTCGGCAATTTTCATCATTCTGCACTGCCAACATGGTGTAATACACTGTGCAGATCCTTAAGCCAAGACTTTAGGAAATTAATCTGGATCCTATAAACATTTTAATGGGAGGAAGCAAAAATACTTGCATGACCTGACAGATCTTTTTGGCTTATAGGTAGGACTTCATATGGAGGAAGTGGTCTTTTCCCTTGGTGACAGTAAAAGTACTTTATATTTTTGCTGCAATGGAAAGATCATGCATTATATAGATCCCATTGAACAGTATTCAGTAAAATGCAGATGTCCTTAAGTTTTCATTATAAACTTTATTTTATTCCTGTTCCTCACATTGCCAAAATCAGCCCTATTCACCTACAGCTTCACAGGCGTAATCTTATTCTGGGACCAGTTTTTTGGAAGAGTTAAAGGAAATTGGTCGAGGTGTTTAAGAGAGATGATGGCTAAAAAAAATGAGATCATCTGCTTGGAGAGTTTCCTAAAGACTTTTTGGTTTGTCATATCCTCAAAATTCATTTGCCTAGAGATTGAAAAAATATTTCAGATCTGTTGGTCTTGGCTAGAAATGGTGCCTTTGAATAGTTTTAGGCTGTCTGGTGACAGAATTATTTGGTTATTGAAAGTGGTTCCTGCCTCAGTGTGTGTACGTATATGTGTTATGTGCTCTTTGGAGATCTTAACTCAACTAGTCAGTGCCAATGTGCTCATAAATTTATGGTGTCATATGTCAGGTTTCTAAACAACTCTGCATGCATTCTAAACAGACATGTTTCTTCTCTGAGACTCATCCTATCTGCAGGTACTGCTGTCTAAAATCCTCACTTATGTGTTTCCTGACTCGCACTGCAATCCATGCTGAAGCTGACAGCATGGCTTTACAGTCCCTTCTGCACAGTCCCTGGAGACCTCTCCCAAAGCTTACAGCATTCAAAGCTCATTCTACTCATCTCAGTGTTTTTTCGTGTCAAAAAATTCACACCTGCCCTGATTTGTGCCAATGTCAGTCTCTGATGGCTGTGAGCCACACATGATGAGACTTAAGTCAATATTATTTTTCAGCATATGTGTTTTGTGGTTTATTTCTGGTTTTATGACAAAGTAAGTTCTGAGGCACAGTGGTCTATTTTTAAAGAGGATTTATTTCAAAATATGTGCTTAGAACTTTCTCATAATTGCATCATTTTAAAGATGATTCTTGAAGTGTGACCAAAACCAGAAGCGAACATTCATTAGACAATTTTCAGCATCTCTCACTCTAAAAAGAACATGAAATCTGGAAACAGTACGGTTGTGCTTTGCCACTGCACTAATGTGCTCTCCTTGGATCACTCACCCACTGCATCACCCCCTTAGTTTGTACTGAAGGTTATAGCAGAGCAACGTGAACAGTCAGGTCTGCCCAGCACGTACCATTGACTATGGGACATGGGACATGTCCCGTG